GTTGTAAAGTGACCTGAATGCATGAACTGTTGTAGTGTGACCTGAATGCATATATATAGTGTAATGAACTGTTGTAATGTGCCTGAATACATAACTTTAGTGTCATGAACTGTTATAATGTGAATACATGAACTCAAGTGACATATGAACTGTTGTAATGTGACCTGAATGCATAACTATAGTGTTATGAACTGTTGTAATGTGACCTTAATACATGAACTCAAGTGAAGTATGAACTGTTGTAAAGCGACCTAAATGCATGAGCTCAAGTGACATATCAACTGTTGTAAAGTGACCTGAATGCATGAACTGTTGTAACGTGACCTGAATACATATCTTTAGTGTCATGAACTGTTATAATGTGACCTGAATACATCAACTCAAGTGACATATGAACTGTTGTAATGTGACCTGAATGCATAACTATAGTGTTATGAACTGTTGTAATGTAACCTGAATGCATAACTATAGTGTTATGAACTATTGTGATGTGACCTGAATGCATGAACTGTTGTAATGTGACCTGAATGAATAACTATAGTGTTATGAACCGTTGTAATGTGACCTGAATGCATGATCTCAAGTGACGTATGAACTGTTGTAAAGTGACCTGAATGAATAACTATAGTGTTATGAACTATTGTAATGTGACCTGAATGCATGAACTGTTGTATTGTGACCTGAATGAATAACTATAGTGTTATGAACTATTGTAATGTGACCTGAATACATGAACTGTTGTAATGTGACCTGAATGAAGAACTATAGTGTTATGAACTATTGTAATGTGACCTGAATGCATGAACTGTTGTAATGTGACCTGAATGAATAACTATAGTGTTATGAACCGTTGTAATGTGACCTGAATGCATGATCTCAAGTGACGTATGAACTGTTGTAAAGTGACCAGAATGAATAACTATAGTGTTATGAACTATTGTAATGTGACCTGAATACATGAACTGTTGTAATGTGACCTGAATGAAGAACTATAGTGTTATGAACTATTGTAATGTGACCTGAATGCATGAACTGTTGTAATGTGACCTGAATGAATAACTATAGTGTTATGAACCGTTGTAATGTGACCTGAATGCATGATCTCAAGTGACGTATGAACTGTTGTAAAGTGACCTGAATGAATAACTATAGTGTTATGAACTATTGTAATGTGACCTGAATGCATGAACTGTTGTAATGTGACCTGAATAAATAACCATAGTGTTATGAACCGTTGTAATGTGACCTGAATGCATGATCTCAAGTGACGTATGCACTGTTGTAAAGTGACCTGAATGAATAACTATAGTGTTATGAACTATTGTAATGTGACCTGAATGCATGAACTGTTGTTTTGTGACCTGAATGAATAACTATAGTGTCATGAGCCGTTGTAATGTGACCTGAATGCATGATCTCAAGTGACGTATGAACCCAAGGCTACAGCAGTCACAGCGCAATCAGGTGTACAATGGATATTCCCAGAACTTCGAGTAGTTTCGAAAAATTGCATCGATTGTACAGGGCGAAAGGACATACTAACATGTCTATGACTATAGATAGTAGTCTGATTTCAGAGTGAGAACAATAACATTCATACTTCTCAGGACTTTGCAATACTTACAGCCGGGTGTGTGTGTGTGTGTGATTAGAACTTCTAATATGTCGTTCCTTTCATGACGTAGTAGAGAAAAAATAATCATGAAGGTCATATTTTTGAATTAGTGTTTTTGACTGAACTCTGTCTCAACTGGAAGAACCCCATTTCCTATTAATTGTTTTCGCTCACTGGAACAAAAGGAATGCAAATATCAACATAACAAGTGGTGCGAATAAACAATGCATTGTCTAGAGTTTATCTTTGAAACTTATAGGCACACAGATTAAACCTGTGTTGTTGGTTTTGACAAACACTACTGAGGCTGTCTCTTATATGACATTCTATGTTATGTTGACTTTATCATATGAAAGTTATATTGCATTTCATCAATTAATAAATAAATGAGAAAATCGTAATTTTCAACACAAATAATAGTCTCGCTACCTTAAACTGTTGTGCATATTCACACCCATTTTTTTCAACGGTCTTTGGCCAAGTTTTTAACCAATTTGGCTTCCAAATATTTGTCTGTATCATTTCTCGAGCCCGTCCACTGAGCATATGAACATCACATCTGATGCTCGACTGCTGCAAATCAATTTGCAACTTTTGACTGCCACGTGCATCCTTCTTGTGTATGCCTGGACCGATGTTTTTTCATAGTTGGTACATGTGTATCACAAGTCATGATACATGTGAATATCGCTTTGTTTTATTTTGTTGACCTTCAACTGATAGCCATTAATTGTCCCCCAAATCAACATTTGGACATGTCATTAACAGTTTCATGCACATTTGTATTCATTATGCTAAATACTATCTTAATATTTAAATATAATCTGATAATGTTTTTAATTGTTTGACAAAGTCACTAAAACAATGACGAGGACTATGACGTTGGCAGTGACTTGTTCATTATATATAGACTCATCATCAGCATTACAATCAGGTATCAATGGAACTTCTTGCATTTGTGGTCTTGGCTAATCCACAGTCATAATTCTTCACAATTAAACCCATGCATAGTAATTGTACCTACCTTTGTTGATAAACTGCACAGTATATGTTGGCATTGTGCATCTGAAGAGAAGACTTGTATAATCTTTTAAAATTTGTAAATGGGTAAAACTATTTTTATCAACAAAATCACTTGTGCACAGATGTTTGGACTGTTGCCCTCTAATTTCATAAATAAAACATTGAATGCCTATACTTTACAGTCAAAATATTGAGATGTTATTGAAATAGAGTATACTTTTACATTGCAAGTACACATCACTTATAGCATCAGCTTAAATTAGCGGTTCTCACACGTTTTGTAATTGTTATATATTAAATGTATAATATTGTTGGTATGATATATGTGTATTATGTATATACATTACTCTCACAATTGAATATATATCAAAAGAATTGGCCATCGGGTCAATTTACTCCTGCAATGTCAATCTAAATAGCATATAAGATGTGAATCCATTTAAAAGCACAAAATAGCGGACATATCGTTGAAAACTATTTTGAAAGAATCACATATTGTTTTAAATCAGGACACAGTTTTAAACTATCTTTGTGGGTAAATAATATAAACTTAGAAATATATTTAGTCTAAATAGATACGTTTAGTTCCAAATAAATTACATTCAGTTCAGCTGGCACAAATAGTGTATCAGGAATCATTACATCAATACTGAATGCTCTGATGTTATACAAAATGAAACACCAATGAAAAAAGTGATAAACATTTCGGAGATTCATGTTGTTTATTGCGCATTGTTTGCTAGATTCTTTGGTGCTAGCTAGATTATGTCAAAATGACAGCAGTGGTGAGGCGCAGGTTTCAAACTACTTTCAAAAAAATGACCCGCATACGCATTATTTTTTGCAATTTTTCATACCGGTAAAGTGCGAAATGTGGAAACGTGTTTTTTTTTCTATTTTGGAGCATCTTGTGATACTGTAGCCTGACATGTAGGCGTAAGTGGCGCCCTCGCCGGCGGAACGGCGTCAGACCCTACTAACGCCTGACAGACAGTGTATATCTCGTCGGCAAGATCAATACTGCGAATTTGCAAAGTTCACGCCTTCTTGCAATGAGATTCAATAATTATTCTCTTTGGTGGTCATGGCAACATCGTCAATCAAAACCGTGTTTGCATTGTCTGCAAAAATCAGTATTTTCAACAAGATGATAAACATTGGGCATACATTTGCCAGCACCTTATCACACATTATGTCAACAAATAAATGGACCGCGCTGTCGTAGACCCTCTCTTTCAGTCGTTTCTGCAGCAACACCTTCTTCGGAGTGAGAGTTTTGATCTTTCGATTGTCGTCGTCTCTGTTCAAATCGGCTAATTTTTGGGTGAGTTCCAGCATTTTTAAGGTCTCCTAAGTTCGTCCACGATATTTTCAAATGAAGGGGGGGTCTATGTTTTGCGCAACCACGAAATCTGTCGAGCAAATACACCTACTACCGTTGTCAAACCCGGCGTATAACATCGAAGTCTTAGAAGTCTATTATCTTACTATTATTTTAACTTCATAAAATTTCCTCACCAGTTGATATCTCACAAATGTGAAGATTATGGATTGTTGTCACTTACTTGTTGCAGGATCGTCACCGACATTGCTGTAGTGTGCACTGTGTGTAATTTCGTAACCCCATACTTATTACCAACTGGCATTCCGTACTGGTTAGTACTCAGACAATCCAATAGGTTGGTTGTCTGAGGTTAGTGGTTTAGCGCTGAACTGTTGCAGAGGCGGTGTGATTTATAATTATAATTATGTATGAATATAATAAGTATTCAACTATACTGGTGTCCATTAGTCTAAATGATCCCGGTGTTTCTCAAGGTGGTTGTGAGTATTGCCTGTTTCAGGTTAATATTTGACCCAACTCGTGACTACACATTTCAAAGATGATCTATGCATTGTTTCAGAATGGCGTCGACAGTAGAAGGTGGTGAAGATAGATTGGGAAAATATGATCTATGTATGCTGATGGCTATATGGATGGAGATGTCACCAAATGCACAACCGCCAGATGACCCAGTACCCAGTAGCGAAGAAAAAGCCGCTTGTGTAATTAGTCTATTTTATTTAATGTGTACTTTAGAACATCAATTTCCACCTTTCCACTACTTTGCACTCTAGTTTCACACTTGGCCCTCTTGTTTTACATTTGGCACGGTTATTCTACTACTTTACACTCCAGTTTCACGGTTTGCACCCATATTTAACTAATTTACACTATAGTTTCGCACTTTGCACCAATTTTCCACTACTTTACGCTCATGATTACACATATGCATCATTGGTTATGATTGAGAGTATGAGTTAGCTAGTCATCTTTACAAAATACGGACCGAATTGAGCATTCATTATGCATCAATATGAGTCACCAGGAGTTTTTTGCTTTTTTTTGAACGTGGTTATATAATCACATATACATATATTGACACTTCAAGCTATTCATGTAATTACAACGTATATATTCTAGGTTGGTGTGATTGCTTTGGATGGCAATCTTGTACACAGTAAAATATTTGCTGCTGCTTGTAGTAGTAAATATTCTCATGGTGTTAATGCACTAGCATTGAAATATGGCCAGAGATTGGATGGAAGTACTTTATTCGTATCAAGAAAGCCATGTTCAGAGTGCACTAAACACATGATACAAGGTATGTACAGGACAGGCCAGTCGGTAAGGTTTCACAATGGTAGAACACCTGCAGGTCAGAAATAGTGTAGAAATAATAGTGTAAGTTGATTGTATTGATACCTGCCAATCTGATTATATTATTTCAACATACAGAGACATATTGGTAAAACACGATGATTCAAGGATTCACGCATTAACTAAGATGGTTTTATAGCAGATTCTATCTACTTTCTTGGGAACGAGGTACACCCATACGTACTGTAAATGACACACCTATGAACTTTGTGGAAAGAAACAGCGAAATGTATGCACTCATTTAAAAACAAAATATTTTGGACTGATTAGAAATTTCACTGTAAAATAAACTGTACTGAAAATTACGGTCGAATAAAACGGTCGGTAAAATTATGAATTTTATGTTATGTGATGTGATGTGAAATCACAAAATTTTGTGCGACTTTGAGTAAATTATGCGGACGGGGTGTTGACATTCATTGAGCAGGGAAAAATCCGCGATTATTATTTGATATCGACAGCGAGTTAGCATGTTATGGGATCGTGAAATTACGTTTGTATTTATGATGAGAGAGATAACAAACTTATATTTTTTCACTGCAAGGTATAAATTCAATATTCACATCTCAAACATAGACTTGTGGACAGAGCTATAAAAAAAAGAAATTCGAATTCAAATCATTCGTTTTTTGAGGTAGATGGATACAAATTAGACAGTTATTTGAGATAACGATGATGGTGTTTGCGAGCAAGATTGCAGTAATACATGTATTTTCCTGCTCTGTAAGTTAGTTTTAGTTGCAGACAACTCATATAAAAACTTGGAGGGTGTAGACATTACTGAGACTATAGATTTCAATTAGAAGTAATATTTATTTTGTTGCATTGGTTTGATTAAGTGAGTTACAACTTTGAATCAGCTTTCGAACATACACGAGTGGACAAATAAGCAGGGTTAGTGGATTATTCCGAAGCCAAAGACATACAGGACATCATGCGCTAAAAGATCTAGAAGCAATGTGAATACTTTGTAGCCCAGCTATAGCCCACAGTCCTTCTAACCATGAACCATATAAGCTCTAACTTATATCATATATAATATACGCTCTTCATGTTGCCATGTATTTCTAACAAATGACTAAATATGCACAAAGCAGGTACGAAATGATAAAGTGAGCATCCAGTATGAAGTGATTAGGAACGATTAGGAAGTAACCACGTAAAGCGAGATGACTTAGAGCGAAGTGACCTGTAGTACTGATTAGGGGAAAGTGACTGTGTGGTAGAAAGTGACCATTGTAGTCTGAAATGATGTAAGATAAAGTGTTTTAGTACAATATGACCACGCTCCTATTTTGTGCACATATTCATCTTCTGTTTTTTACAGGCTCTTATTTTGTTTTGCAGTCGGTGTCAAAACTGTTTATTATTTCCCCACTAAACCTGAAGTTAAGAAAGAAGATGATCTTGCTATCGTTGACCATACCATGAAAGTTAGTCATCTTGCAATGAAAGTTTTAATTCCCGAAGTCATTCGAGTGAAATCACAGCCACCGCCCTACGAAGCTACAAATGACAAAGAGGAGACGAAAATAGCTCAAAAAGAGTTAGAGGAAAGATTCGGTGATAAACCAGATGCATTATCTGATATACAAGTCCCGGATGATGATACAATTGAGCAGCGACATCAGGAATTCAAAGAGGTCTTGACGTGGCTGGCTGTAAAAACTAGAGGTGATCTTCCCTCTGCCTATATAGTTCAGAACCCTCCTCCAGAGATGTTGAAAGAAAATGAACAGGAACTATTGCGTCATGCTGCATCACTCACTTATATATTGGCACACAGAACAAGTATGTATGTATTTTCTACTAATGTCAATTTGTGTCATTTTTAGTTCATACAGAAAATCGGGACTGATTAGTCATTTGCAAAACGCATTTCACTATTTGACTATTGGAGAATCAAGTCATTGGGTGATTATTTCTGAACAGGTAACCGAACTAAATACAATATTAGCTTAACATCAACTGCATGTTTCTCCTCTTTATCATTTACCATCAGCGGATCCAAGCACTGGTGTTGGAGCTGTATTGATGAATAAGAAAGGTGACTATTTAGGATTTGGTTATAACGGTTACCAGATAAATGCATCTCTTGCCGACTTTTCAAGGTATAGAGGCGAAAATGAAAAAGACAAGCAGAAAGTGAAATATCCATACATTGTTCACGCTGAAGCCAATGCTCTGTTATTTCGGTATGTTTATGATGCTGATATTTCTACTGTAATGTATAATGGTTTAGTTTGATGTAGTGTGATGTAATCTTTCACAAATAAAGCACCGAGAGAAGGAAAAACACTTTACTTGCTCCCTTGTGTCTAATGAAATGTTCCCTTCAGCACACCAGTTTAGAATGACATTAATTCATAATAAACACATAACAATCATCGGAAGGGGTGAATACAGTTACAATTGAGATGAATGAATAATACACAAAATAGTGTTTTAAACAAATGAGACAATTAAGGTGCATGTTGCCTACATAATGATATGAACTGAGCTAGCAGTATAAACATGTCATTGCTGCCCATTTTGTAATTTGTATTTGAAATGAATTAATCCTTAATTGTGTCAACTTTTTTACTTGGTAAATATCAGTATACAT